ACAGTTGCCAATGTTTAAAAAGCTCTTTTATGCTCTTTAAAGTGTGTGGCCTTAGGTTATTTGCATATAGTGAATACAAGTGATATTGCTTGAGCTGGGGGGGTTGGACTAGGTGATCTCTAGAGCTCCCTTCCAACCTCAACTGTTCTGTGATTCTGTGTGAAGTCATGGAAAGAATGAGGGGGAGCCTCATTTCTGCTCTCAGAAGTTGTAATCAGATGTTCCCTTTTCGAAGTCTGAAAATGGTGCTTCTTTTTCTTCTTCAAGGAAGGTCCAGACTCAAAACTTTCATAGAAATCAAGAGAACCTGCAGGTGCTGGCAGTAACCTGACTTGGTTATACCCATGTTTGGATTTCTGCATGAGTACATTTGAATACTTCAGGCTTGAAAACCTGTCCCTCTCTGTTTGCAGCTTTATACTTAAAGAAGCATAAAGTATCCACTCCAGTAGTGAACTGCAGAAGTAAAGTCACACCACTCTTTGGTGAAGTTAGGCACCTTGTTTTCCTGTTAACTGGGAAATTCATCACTAATCTAGAGGTTTTTAATGACTGTTTTTCTCTGAACATAACTTTAAATAGATTTTTTTTTTTTGAGCAAGGACTACAGTTACGGAAGATGTCTTTAAAAAGACGATCAGCCACCACATTGGTGGCTCAGTACCGTATCCAGATGACTATGGCAATGACTGTCAGAGGAGAGGATTAATATTAGACAATCTGGGTATTTTTAAATGATTCAATTCCACAAATATATATTAAAGTGAGAAGAGCCAGCATTCTGTGGCTCACTAGTCCACATAATTCTTCTGTAGTAGCAGCATGCATCCCAAACCTTGGGATCTGCCTTGGGATCCAAAGTTTATCAACTGAAGTGGCTAATTAGCTTAGCGTGTTACATGGCTCTTCTCTTACAGACATCCAATATCTTTTTGATATCCTGGCAATCTTCCGGCTTTGTTATTTCTTTAATAGATGAACAAACTACAAGAAAAACAGTCTTGTTTCAGGTTAAATTTCCTTATCTCTTGCTACGTGCTTTCTGTCAAAGAAATTCCAAACTAAACATTAGTACTTGGGACTTCTGTGCTCAAGTGCAAACCTGTTTCTCATCTGCTACAAATGTTTAAAGGAAAAAAAAAATGGAGAATGGATATATATTAGCAATTCAAGAACTTAAAATACATTTTGTGATCTATAAGCCCAGCAAAATATTTAAATCAGTGATTTTGGAAGGAGGTTATGCAAAAATCCAATTAAACTTATGAAATCGCTATCCCGTTGAAGTATAATTTAAAGGAAAGCAGTTCTGTTTCCCAGAAGTGCTGTGTATAATATTTCTGGCTTGGGAAGAAAGGGTTGGAGTGTGCTATTTGGCTAGAAATCGGTACCAGCTTCCTCCACGGTGTTTTACTTGAACAGTGTTGACATTCTAACAAATCCCGTGGAAGCTCCCCTCAAGTGGAGGAGTTAGCTGTTTTTTTGCTTTTACAGTGAAATATCTGTTTGATACAGTGATCATGTTCCAGCAACCGCGCTATACTACATTCGCATGGGATGACCAGTGGCATTCTTGGTTTAACACCCTATAGAAGTTCTCAGTTGCTGGAGGAAACCCAAATATTTTGGAAATTTTACAGCTACTGTATTTCACACAATCATTAAAGTAAATAAATCATACATTACTGTGTAGCCAATGAAAATAGTGGATAAAGGGTTCAGTGTCCCTTGTTGTGTGTAGTTCTTTTTAAAATAAATCCTTGAACCTAGATTTCTCAGTGCTTTAAAGTCAGTGTAGCAAAGAGGTGGAATCACTTTAAAAAAAATGTAACAAGAGACTTTTTTTTCCTTGCCACAGGAACTTAGACCAAATTCTTATTTCTGCTAAGCGACAAAAAGCATGTGTATGGCGTGTGAGAGAGAAAATACTACTGGCTAGTTGTTCTTCTGCCTTCTTTAAACGAATGAAAATAATCTCCACCTTCTTTTTCTTGCCCCCCTTTCCTCCTTGCCCAAAAGGAAAACATTTGAAATTGCTTCAGTTCTTAAATAGAACTTTCCAACGGAAACTAGCATTACAAACATAGATATTCAGTATTTTACCCCTAGGATTTATTCAAAATAATCTGGGCCTCTATATTGACGCTAAAAATACATTTTCCAGTTCTCACTGTTAGCCAAAGCAGGGGTTAAAAGCAGCATTTTGGCTTTAATTTCTCGCGTATAAAAGCAACACTGTTAAAACAATCTGTGCAAGGCCCGGGTTCATTCCCCTCGGTGCATCCCCTGAGCACTGTTGAGTTTAGCTCGGACAGAACCAAGCTGGACAGAACCAAGAGCCACATCCAGTGTCACAGTGCAGAGCCTGGCAGAGAGCAGCACTGGCGCCTCTCAGGATTCGTAACTGTGGCAGTGACAGGAGTGAGGCGACAGCGAAAGTGGGAGAAGCTACTACAGTTTCCAGATAGGCCTCTGGAAACCTGGGTGCCCAGAGGTTGGGTAGAGGTCTTGCCATTGAACTCAACAGGGTTTGAATTTTATCATATTTTATTTTATCACTGCAGGGCTGCTGCTCTCAAAATAAAGTTAGAATAGGAGCACATCTGGTTTGCTTACTACGTGAACAGGGTCAGATATTATCTATGCAGGACAATTGTTGAAGGTTTTTTTTTTTTTTCACTGCAATGTAGTGCAAATCCTGGTGAAATCACAAACACTCTGTAACTCCAGACACCAAGTTTAGAAACTGATTTAAATCTCATGGGCTCTGTTTCCCTCTACACATTCCTGGTCTTTCTCTTGGTTAGTGTTATTGGTCTGCCCTCTTTACCATTCCTCTCATTCCCTATCTAATTCTGCAAAAATGTTAAACAAGTATTTGGAGTACACAGAGCCTCCCAACATATTTGCTCTCTTTGGGCAGTTAGGAAGGGGAGATCAGAAAACTGGGTTTAAAGCCAGTGTGGAAGAAAAAGACATACCCTAGCTTTAAGTTAGATGTTTTGAATGCAAGAGTAGCCCTTTTGTGCAACATGTGCATGTGTTTTAACATAGAGCATTTTCAGCAGATTTCTCTAGTGTTGTGTGTATGGATCAGCACTGCAGTTTTCTGCAGACTTCATTATAGCTAGACCAAATTTCAGTACATTAAGGATGACAAAAGATCTTCTGCTGAATAAATATCTTGCATGTCATTTTGACATCAAGACCAAATATGTTATCTCAACTGATTTCTCTTATATTAAATAGGCTTGATACATTGTGAAGTCTTTAACCTACAGTAGGCTTTTTGTGGAACAAAAAAAACCCATATATAATAGATCCATCTTCAGTCATCATCTGACAGAGTAAATTCAACAATGACAGAAATTTCTATCAAATTCTGGTCTGGTTTACCATAAATCAAGTAATTTTAGACTCTGTGACAGGTGATCTGAGATCCTACGTTTGTTTTTCTTTAAGGATGATGTTTCCCCACTGTGATTTCATTAAATCCTGGTTGCCGTGTACGCAGAGGGGTGGTTGTTTGCCTGCTTGTTTGTTTTTTCTTCTGAAAATCTCAGTCCAGTTGTGGATGTGCTGCCAATGTGAAGTCACTTCCCCATTGTGCGCAGGGGACTGGTTCTGCTTTTAGTCATGCGTGGAAAGTTACTAGTTAGTTGATCAGAGAAAGCAGTAGAGACAGACAAAACCAGCTTTATAATAATGTAGAGTTTCTGAAGTGCTTTACTGAAGGTTCTCTAACAGTGTTCTGTGTGCAGCCAGTGTAGGACAAGCAATCTCATTGCAGGCTACAGGTTTCTCTCTTTTTTTTTCTTTTTTCTTTTTTTCTTTGCTGATCTGATGGTAAAAAAATGGAAAAGCAGCTACTCTGGGGCACTGTAGGCTTGAGAGTGTGAAAGCAAGGGTCTGCGACCAAGTGAAGAGGGAGAACATGTAACGCACGTTGGAGAGAATCTGCAGTAAGCTCGGCCTTGGCCCGATTCTGCTGCAGATAAAGGCACTGCTGAGCACTTTGCTAAGGTCCATTTGCTTTCTCTTTTTAACTAAGTGGGTCAAATTAATACACAGCATGTAGATAGTAATGGGATATACCAATTTAAAGATGGTTTTGTCAACCAAGAGCCTTTAAATAGGTTATTTAAGCCTATTCGTGTACATGAAGTTTGTTTTTAGGGTGACACCCGCTCCTGAGCAGGTGTATATGCACATGTGAAGTTCTGTTTTCACACAGAAGTCATCTTGACTTTCTGGCTTCCATTTCAACAAACAAATCTATAAATTATAGACATACCTAAAATAACACATTTACTGTTCTAAAATGGATGAATGCAAATATTTTGGGTGCTTGTGCCAATACATTCAAGTCTAGCTGGATACTTCAAAGCTGTATTCAGAGCTTCCTTAAAGTAGCAGGTTTACAGAAGTGCCTCCCTTCCCTTATGTCAGTAGAGACCAAGGCGAACAGCAAACACTTGGCACCTCTAAAAATATGTCTAGTTAAGTACCTAATTTGAGATATTCAGTTCTGAAAACTGAAGCTTTGGGCTTTAAAACACTTTCTTCTATATATAGCTAGCCCACACCAGAATGCCACAAGATTTTATTACCCCTGACATTTTTGAAAATATTATCCTAGTTGTGTTTGTCACACAGTATGCAACTTTATTTACACGTCAGAAGCTCTTAAACAGATCCATGCACTATAAGGAGTCTTTATAGTAGCCTTTCCTCCTATTTCATGCTTAAAAAAACTTCCGTATATCATGATTTAGCCATTCTTGAAAGTGTAAGTTGAGGGCTAGTCTGGATTGTTCTGTGCAACTACTGTCTTCTCCACTCCCTTCCATGTTGGGAGGAATGTAGCGGGGTGTACTTCAGTCTCGTGGATGTCCTTTGCTGTTTGATCGTTGTCCCTCCGTATGTGTACCGCGTCACACGGGTTTTCTTGCAAGGCGTGGTGGCCGGAGCCTCATTTCCGTGCGCTGTGTGTGTTCCAGGAGAGAAGCCGTACAAATGCACGTGGGAAGGCTGCGACTGGAGGTTCGCCCGCTCCGACGAGCTCACGCGCCACTACCGGAAGCACACGGGGGCGAAGCCCTTCCAGTGCGCCGTGTGTAACCGCAGCTTCTCCCGCTCCGACCACCTCGCGCTCCACATGAAGAGGCACCAGAACTGAGGCCGCACTCGGCACCGAGGCCGTTCCCTATCTATGCAATTTCCTAAGGACTCTCGACTCGCGGCTAAAGCTAGTTTAATTTTTGACGATGGGTTATCCATTTGAATGAAATCTCGAAAGAAACTGGAAATGTATATTTTGTATATTTATGCAGAAAAAGGGAAGACACTGAATCACAATACCAGAGTGTTCACTTGTTTGTTTGCTCTCATGATGTGTATGGCTTTAGTCAGCAGGTTTCATCTCTTTACAAGTATTATGTCTTGACACATTGCAGCATTACACATTTTTTCTGTTGCAGTGTTTTGACCAAAGCACTATCATTATTGTGACAATGTTTAGTAAATGAGTTAATGAGAGGCTGCAGGTGAATGAACAGTGGAAAAGCCATGAATTGTAACCCGTCGGGTTTTTACTGGACATATTTAGTACTTGTGGTTTTTTTTTAAATGTTAAGTCGTTCTGTGGAAATAAAATACATAGAAAAATTCATAAACAGCCATAGAACAAAACTTTTTGTTCTGTATGTTGCATGTTTGCTATGACAAAGATTTTGTAAATATGCAAATCAGCTTTTTTGGGTTTAATACAAAAGTTTTCTAAAAATCATCTGAAAAAAGGAGTTGCTTTACATTTGATACCACGGCACATTTGCAAACAAATTTATTTAAATACCTCTCTAAGCAGTACCAACTTAGCTTTATTTTTCTGGAGAGAAATGAGCTAAGCATTCAGATGTTTTGTACCTGTTAACACAAACGGTGTGCACTGAATATTCAAAGCAGGATTTTGTTTTCAAATTGCTTAAAAGGGCAAGGCATTTAGAATGAGCTGTAAAGTAAACGTTGGAAGCTTAAATAATGGGGATAGTTACAATATTCAGAATGTTAAACCTCTTACTATAAGCTAAACTTAGTATCAGTTTAAAAAGAAGGATTTAGGATGCAATTTTCATACATGGACATGTTAAGCTGGTTCAGCACCAGTATGATCCAGTTTCACGTGGATATTGCATGTAATTTACTAGACGGCAAAAGATACAGTAATTTTATTTAAAATTACAGTGCAGTTTAGTTAATCCACTGTTCAGACTGACACGCAGTCACACAGGGCAAAACTGACTGTGACATCCGTAGTTGAAACTCTGCTGAAGTCGATGAAGTCCTTTTGTGCCAGCAGTGACTTCGATCCGCAGTGTTCCCCTTGGAAATAGTAAGTGAAGGTCCAAAGATGAGGTTATACTGTGTAGGATTTGGCCGGGCTACAGGATAAAACCAAACAAACCTAGAAAGTGTCTGGAATTCATAAGCCGTAATACTGAGCTGTCAACCAAAGGGTAGATTAAGAATCAAAATACCAAAAAAGGGTCTTGCAGGAAAACCTAGCTTTGTTAAAACTGTCGTTCGTCTTTATTTATTTGTGGTATACAATAGACTCTTTTTTTAAGACAATTTTACATATACTTGATAAATTATAGTTTTGTTTGTTATAGTTAGAAATGTTGCTCTTAATGTAAATAGTTGACAAATGATGTAAATAATTTTGTAAGGCTTCAAATGTTTATACGTGGAAACACATGCATAAATTGGTTGCTGTTTTGCTTCTTTTGCCTCCCTTCGACCTTATTTTTGTATTGTGGTATTTCCTATGCAAATGATGGAGCAAACAGCTGTATAGTTGTAGAATGTTTTGAGAGAGAATGAAATGGTTTATATATAAAAGACATTTTTTTTTTGCAAAATAAAACAAAGTGCCTAATGTGTGTGTGCGTGTGCTCTGTGGCTCCTGAATGATCTCTGGTTTCGCATTACGAGCTGGAAGTGTCTGCAATATTAAGCTAAGCCTGTGTGCTCTCCATGGCAGGGAGTGTCCCTTTGGAAAGCACCTAGCACTTTTGCTTCCTGCCCTGATGAAAATAATGAGTGCGGAGTGATGAGCATTACTTTAAGGTGCTTTTCTAGCATCAAAACATTAAAAGAAGTATGTGGTAAGTCTGGAAGCAATAGAGCATCCCCAGTAGTGCGGTAGTAAATGAAAAGTGCTCGCTGGGTGCACAACGAGCAGCACACAGACCCCTGCCCGCAAAGTGGATAAAAGCTGTTGCACCCAACCACGCAGCGGCTGGCAGAATTTTCTCCAGCCCCAAAACATTTCTCTGCCATGACCTGTAAACCAAAAATCTCTTGTAGAAGCAGAGCACAGAGCTCTCCACAGCATCATCTCCCTTTGAGCATTCGTCCCTCAGAAGAGAGAAGTGCGGTGCAGTTTAAAAATTCAAGCTGATGTGTCCTCTCAGATCTGGGCTTACGTAAGTGTCCTTGCTCTTTCCTTCAAGCTTAAAGCTTGAACAGACAGAGGATGTTTTTTTAAATCAAATTACAACCAATAAACATTTCATTTTAAATTTCATTTCAATTTGCTAAGTTTTAAAAAATCAACTGCCAATTCATTCAAAATTTTCTCTAAAAAATTTAAATTCTGACTTCTTAATCAGTTCTTAAAATTTTCAGTTTCTTTGCCATAATCAGTTTTTCCTCAGTTGATTTTTCTGTCTTAGTTATTCCCTTTTATACCACATAAAATTGGTTCCACACATCACCTACTCATTCCTTTTAGAAAAAAACTAAGATAGTGTTAATAAATCCAACAGGAGTCCTAGTTAATTACCAAGAAACTTTGCCTCCATCTGACATAACTGTGTACAACCACAAATATGAGCGAGACGTTTTGGAGAAGATGAAGCAGTCATTCCTAAAAGCATTACTGTAGCATTAGCCCCCTTTTAGATGCAGCAATTAGAACAAGTGTCGCGTTCCCTGGGAGCGTTTCTGTTAGCAGGGAAAATCGGCGATGAAATCAGTAACCGTTTCCGTGCTGCTGCTGTAAGACACGTTACCAGGGCTTATCTTCCCGAATGCGGGATGGAGCAGCGATGCGCCAGGGCACGCGGCGAGAAGGCCTCTTTTGCTCAGCCTGGAGGTGGTTTTAGTAGCTACTTCTGGTCTTTTAGAGTGACTCTTGCCCTGTGTTTTGTCTCAAGTTCATAGATGGAAGTCCGTTCTAGTTTCTGGATTTCTAATGTTTTTAGACCACAAGAAGCCCTTGATTGCACAGCCTGGCCTCCTGCATTGCCTCATACTTGTTTTAGATCTTTCTGTTGCTCAGCTACTTGGTTGCGTAAACCCCCTTAATGGCACCTTCATTTGAATCCTGAATGAAAGGCCATAATTAGACCCATCTATTTCAGCAACGTGTAACCTAATATAAACAGAAACATACACAGTAGACCTGTGTACAATATAAAACTGAAGGTAGAGAAGCTTTCTTTACTGGCAACTGCAATAACTGGTATTAATGCAAAAGTCCAACATCATGGCTTAAATATTTTAAAATCTGCAAGAAAATTAGTGTCAGCATAGTGGGCACACAGTTCATCTAAAGCACTTAATGCAAATTTCCCCAAGATATTGAGGCAATTGTCAAATTCTGCGCTCAGATTCTCATTCGGTGCTCAAAATATCATTCCACATGAAGAGGGAAAACGCAGTTGGCTTTTCCAGGGACTGCGTGAACACACTGTTGTCCTCCTTCCTGGGCGCCAAGTTTCTTCCTGTGGTTTCCATATGAGCTTGAGGCCAGCTCCTCCATGATTGTCCCCATGCCCACATGGGGACCTTGGGGCCTTCATTAGCAGGGATCCTTGCAAGGATCCTTGGTTTAATCTGTTCTGTAAGGTGCCGCGAGGCTCCGACGTGCCATGTAACTGCAATAATGGAGTTTTGCTGTTGACCTTCATGAAACAGAGTCTAGCTCAGGGAGTACTATCCAAAAGAATGTGGTGAATTACTCATATGCTGAATAATGTATCCTGGCACTTTGCGTGTGCTAAGACCGAGGGCATTTATTGGCCACTGTAGGCAGCAGAAGCAGCAGCCCAATGGGGATGCTTTTAATAAAGAGATTTGCATACTTTGTGTTCGCTTATCCCTCTTCTTCCTCACCACTATCCATTAGGTTGTTGTCATCTGCTGTGTTCCTGGCATCACCTCAAGTGTTTACTGTTTGGGATATGGGTTTTGAGCTGGAGCACCAGAAGGGCTTATTGAACATCAGGCATGAAAATCTGTAATGTCCTGTCCATGGGAAGAGCATTCTCAAAGATTTTCTGATCTTGTTATTGCGCTTTTAAAATATAATTAGTCTTTACATATTAGTATATATGGAAATGTATCTGGAATGTGTGTTTGACCATTTCAATATTCAGTTCATATCTAAGTAAGTCCTTAATCATTGCTTTGGAGAATGCTTTATCACAGTCAGTTCCTCAGGTTAGTGGAGGAGTGGAGCAGGGAAGGAAAAAATGAATGGTCCCATGTTTCCTCCACAATTTTCCAAACCATTGGGAAAATTTAAGCTTTCTTTTCCCTGCTGTGTGTACTGGAGAAAAATGTAATGGTGAAATTCTGTTTCCAAGGAGTTCCTGCTGCCGGTCAGCATCAGGCTCCCTTCCACGACCTGCACCATCGTGCAGCGCTAGCTATAGGTGGTCGCTGCTGTCACCGAAGTGCAGAGGAAGGGATGGAGGAGGAAGCAGGGCATTGACCAGGGGTTGAGATAAACAACCTGGAAGTACAACAGTCCCCCATTGTTTCCAACAAATGTCTCTCCATTTCCGTTTTCACTTGTGTGTCTCTCTTTTCTAACTAGGACCGTGAAAAACTCGTGGAAGAGCAACACAGTGTCACATGGACCTGGAAAGAAACCTCCTCCTTGCTGCTTGTTCCCGTTGTGGCATGAAGAATAGCAGTGCTGCTTGTTTGCTCTCTGCCAGGCTCCCTGCCTTGTGCTACATTACTGGGGCAAACTTCCTTTTTCTCTGTATGTGCAGAGCTGGTGTCAGTATATATAGGGCACGCTACCGCTGTGTGCACACACAGGGTCTTGGAAAAAGGACGAGAGCCTTTCCTTTGCCATGGGACTGAGCAAAGGCATGTGATGCCAAGGGGGATTCTCATACTTCTGAGGCAGCAACTCAAAGATGTTCAGCTGTTTGGCGTGCAGTCATGGGGTTTTCAGCACTGCTTTTTGTGCTGGCCTTCCTGTTCTCCTGCCTCACTCTGTTTTCCTATAGTAGGGTTAGTTCAACGGTTTCAGTGATAGGAAGCTTTAGGAAAATGTGGTTTGCCTCTTTCTCAAAAACTGAGGAGTCACTGGCTGATTGGCCATCTTTTTTTGCCTGGGAAATCAAAGTCTGAAGTCTCTTCTAAATAATATCCCCAAAGGCCATTTCCCTTCCCAGCCTCAGTTGTTGTTTCTGTTTATACTTGTTTCGTTTAGCTGGCTATTGTTATTGTGGTTTGTCATTATTTCCAGCCCAATGGGGAGGATCACTAGACCAAAGGAAGGACACAGGCACCCTCAGAGGGACCCGAATCCCCGTCTGAGAGCCCATGATCTGGCCCTTCGCCTGGGAAGCTGGAGATGGCGACTTGCAGTTTGATCAGGCTGCAGGAGCGGGCGCCGTGTTTCCCTTCACGTGTTCTCCACGTTTTACTTCATCGATTCTTGCATAGAGCAGGGCCACCACTGCCGGCCCTGCTTCCAAGCGGTGGCTTG